GGCCTGCGCGCGGGTATCCCCGGGTGCCCGGGACCGCGCGCCTCTGGCGGGGCCCAGGTCCTGGAATGAACGCCAGTCCCCTGCCTCCCCGGCTCCCAGGGCCACCGGGCGCCCTCCCGGCCGGAGCTGTGTGCCCAGCTGGCGGCGGGCCCGGAGGACGGGCACAGACCCCGCGCAGTCAGGGCTCCCGGGCAGTGGGAGCGGGGTGCCAAGCGCGGTGCTTTGTGACAGCCCGCGGGAAGGGAGGGCGTCCTAGGCGCACCAGCGCGGAGGCCGAGGGCTGCGTCTGAGCACGCTGGGTCCCACCCCGCCGCGCGGACCCGGAGCGGCGCGGGACGCGCTAGGGCGCTGTGGTGTCCCCCGAGTCGCGCAGGCGGGAGACAGTCCCCAGCAACCGGTGCCCCCTGGACGCGCCACGGGACGGGCACTTTCGGTGGCGTCGTGTACGCGCACATTTCTCTAGGAAGCAGCTCCTGCGCCCTACTGGCTTCTCAGCGGGGACTAGGGCTATCCCGGCCCTGGCCGAGAAATCCCTCTACACGCTTAAGGCCATAGTTTCTAAGACAGGGACTACATCTTGCAAAGAGTTCCTTTCAGAAATCCAGATGAAACTGCCTGAACTCCGGAACCTGCTTGCCTGTCTGTGACATCAGGAGAGTCGCAGAGTCATGCTTGCCTCGGGGATGGAGTCGTGTGAGATGTCAGTTCGGAACAGCCCCGGGCCCGGGCCACCCTGGGCCGTGTCCTGACCGCCCTGTACTGATGGGGTGGAGTTCGTCCTTTCTGCCCCGCGCTGCGCCTTTCTACCCTGGCTGGTTTTCAGCTCTGGGGGAAGAGAACGGCCAGCACAGTGCTTGCTCAAAAGCATTGATTCTCTCTGAAAGGAAGGAAGAGTAGAAAAAGTATTCGGTAACAGTGAGGATGGCTGGAGAGTAGCTCCAAAAATAGTTTCCAAAAGAAAAAGAAAATAAACCGGCCTGGGGGCGCACGCCTGTAATCCCAGACCTGCACTCTGGAGGCTGAGGCAGGAGGATTGTTGCAAGTTCGAGACCAGCCTGGGCTACAAAGTGAGCTCAAGGCCAGCCTGAACTGCATAGCGAGATCAGTCTCAAAACAGACAAAAAGAAAAAAAGGGCTGGGAATTTAGCTCAGCGGCACAGCGTCTGCTTGGCAGATGCAAGGTCATGAGTTCAATTCCCGGTACCGGAAAACAAACAAACAAAAAATGGATAGACGATGCTGTGGACGCCATGAAAGCACATTTCTGACGAGAGGGCGCACCTAACAGGGGCTGCTTGTTGCCAGGTGCTTTTGACCTGGGCTGTGATTATTCACCTGTCCCCTTTGTGATAATGCATGGAGCTACACACTGACGATTGTGTGCTTTCTCTGTATGCTTGCATAAAAGATGTTTTAGAAGGCTTTTTCTTTGATTCAAATAGATCCTTCATGGCACATGGTATTTTGATTGTGAATCGGACTAATGTACATGATATTATATTTTGAGAACAAGCAGATCCTGCTTGAAAAATATTTCTACATCACCAACTAGTTTGTGAAATTTTGCCACATACCCCTTTTTACCTATAGCAAATTTGGGATGCGGTTATACAAATTTTTGGCTTGCCTGGGTCATACTGGGTAAAGAAGAATCTTCTGGGGCCACATATAAAATAAACTTCCTTTTTTAAAAAAATATCTTAACTTACTAAATTATTTTAGAAAATAACAGAAGCCCAAGTTTAATAACCAAACAGGAAAACTTCCACATCTGCTTAATAAATGCCTGTGTTTACAGGCGCGCCTCCCGGTAGTAGGTTGAAATACTGCTGTTGCTGAGTTTCACACACCAAGTCACACAAACGCTTCTCACACCTGACATGTGGGCACCCTCTTTACTCGGCATCTATACAATCCAGGCTCAAGCGCCTTGCATTGGAGACAAATAAGTCAGGTGGTGTGGTGCCTGTAATCCCAGCGTTCTGGGAGGCTGAGACAGGAGGATGGGAAGTCCTACCTGGGAAAGTAAGCAAGACCCTGTCTCTCAGTACATTTTTTAAAGGGCTGGGGATGTAGCTCAGCGTGAAGGCCCTGGGTTTCATCTCCGGACCAAAAGAAGAGGAAAAAAGGGTGTTAGAATCACAGAATGATGTGAAAAGTTTACATGTAACTGGCAGGGCAGGGGTAGAACATATGTGTCCTGGGGGAGGTAAAAAGGCAGCCTGGCCGGTCCTCACCTGTCAGCTCAGAACTGAAAATGAGCTCGCCTTCACACACACACGCAAGGCCCCAGCTTTAGTGTAAGCACCCCAGTAGCTCAGGGTGTGGAAACTCAAACAGCTACAGGGCCAGACTTGTTTAATTACTGAAGTGGAGAGCGGGCCCCCTGCAGAACTTAGTACCAAAGCTATCTCTCGGGGGTCGGCCACTGGCTCAGAGGCTCTGGCAGCCTGCAATGTGAAAATTGCCCCTTCTCCTGGGAAGGTCACTGTGAAGTCAGGGAGCAGCAGGGCCCCAAGACTTGCAAGAATACCCAGCGATTTGGCCCAACCCTTACCCTGCGCTGCACAGGGACTCAGAACCAGAGAAGCAGGAAAGGGACACCCTGACCCCACCGCCGAAACCTGGGAAGACCGGTACTTTGGTGGAGAACAACCCCCTCACCCCCACCCCCACCCATGCTCCCGAGTTTTTATGGCCACTGACTTGGTGATGCGAGGGTCCTGGCTGCCGGAGGCTCACGTGAGAACCCTGCTGGCTTTCCTGCTCCGTGTGCCCCTTGGGTCTGTCTCCAGGCCCGGACATCCATGTACTTTCAGCCAGATGGACAGAGAGAAAAGCCGCACTTAAATGAGCCTGCCTTGAGAAAGTGAGGAACGTCAAGCACAAAGGAACAGGAGGCCAGAAGTTTTGTACTATCATCGTCACTATTATTGTTATTAGTATCCAGAACTTTGTAACTTGTGAAGTACTCTAAGTTTCCCCTTAGTGGGACTGTTGGGGAAATTAACCTAAAACTGCTCCTTAGTCTGAAGGAGGAAACAGAGAGGAAAAGAAAGCGTCAGTGGGCTGAGGTGATGTATCTGACCAGCTCCTAAGTCACACGGGTCCAGCAGGTCTCACACTAACTGAGCAAGCTTTCCTCTCCACCGTGTGTGTGTGTGTGTGTGTGTGTGTGTTACTGGTGGTTGAACCAAGAGCCTTCCCTCTGAGGTAAATCCCCAGGCCCCCCTTTTTTTTAATTTTTAAATTTTGAGACAGTGTCATTAAGTCACTGAATTGCCTGAGATGGGCTTCAATTTGTGATCCTCCTGCCTCAGCCTCCCACAGTACTGGGATTACGAAGGAGTAACTATGTCCACCTTCCTTCCTTAATGAGAACACTGCACGTTTCTTCCCCTCCCCTCCTCTTTTTTCTCTTCTCCTTAATGCTGGGATTTGAACTCAAGGGTACTGCGCTGCCTCCAAATTCTTGTGTTTGAGTTTTGTTTGTTTGTTTGTTTGTTTGTTTTTTGTCTTTTTGAGACACGGTCTTGCTATGCAGTTCAGCCTGGCCTTGAGCTCACTTTATAGCCCAGGCTGGTCTCAAACTCGAAACGATCCACCCGCCTCAGCCTCCCAAGTGCTGGGATTACAGGTGTGTAATCCCAGCACACCAGGCTAGATTTCTTTTCATAGGTTGTTCTTTCCCTTTTTATGAAATATAGGCTAACTACAAAAGATTTGAAATAAAAATAACTTGAAATAAAAATAATTTGAAATAAAAATAACTAAAGAAAATAGATTTTTGTGTTTTATAATAGTTTAGAGATCTATAAATCACTCAGTTCCTTTTCATTCTCTCACACTCTAACAGATAAAAGATCAAAAAAATAAAAATGGATCAATCATTCTCTCTTACGTTTGTAGAGCTTTCATTTAGAAGGACAAATTTTCAGATGTTCTCATTTAGAAGGACAAATTTTCAAAAGTTCAAGTAACCTTGAAGATACACCACATCATAGTTTTACTTTGAACTCTCCAGAATATCATTTCATCTTTCCTTCTCTTTCTCTTTGACCATACTGCCGGGCTCAAATAATTTTTAATTTTGGGGAGGTGGAAAAGAGAAGAGAACTACAGGCATTCTTGGAGAGTCCATCCGTGGTCAAGAAGTTTGCTGTCTCACCCTCCAAGTAATCTCAGGGGTGAGATGCATTATCTCCTCTTATGGGTGAGAAAACGGGGCTCAGCACGATTACCCCAACTTCTGACTCACTCGACAGGCAAGAAGGGAGCCTGTGCCCTTCCTGTGTGCCTGAGCAGAGAGATTCTCAGCTGGTGAGAGAACACGGAGGATCCACACCTCACAGGAGCTCAGCTGAGGCCTCAAAAGGAACCTGAGCAGGAGATGCTCTCATTATCCTCTCTATTTTGCCAGGGATGGAAATGATCTAGAGAGAAGCTGGGTCGTCTGCCCACTCACTGTTAGTGAGAGG